AGAGTGAATAGGTTCACAGTATTTAGGCGCCGAGTTGATGTAAGAACAATTCCTTGCAAAAGCTTGAACCAGATTACCAGACGAAATGTTGAATTCACTTTAAATTCATTCGCTTAGATTTTTACAAATATATTATCCTTATTTAATTTTTTTACTACATTTAAAATTTCAAATAATATCGCCTCCTCCTCCTCCCCCTCCTGCCCCACCCCCTAAAAAGGAAACAAACTCAATTTACTTTTCTTTTCTTTCACTACTCAAAACAGTTTTTTTTCAAATAAGAAAAACCTTAATCAAACGATTCATTGTAAAATAATCTTTACTTTTCTTAATATGTTTTCTATATAATTATAGAGATTTAAACATCATTTTTGTAAATTACTTTCATGCTAATTTTATAGATTCACTTCAATATTCACTTTCAAAGTATCTTCAGTTTATATATATCAATCATCATATTGGTGAATTATTAAAATGTAATTACTCATGTTTCCATAGAAATATGATAGTAAACAAAAAAAAAATAACTGATTTCATTCATAATAAAGTTTAACTCTTTTGTCTTTTAGTGTCTTATTGTGATAAGATGACATAGAACATTATCATATTTCTTTATGGAAAGAGATTTTGTTAATGTTCGAGAATTTCAAAGTTTAAGTTTGAATACATCATTGGAAGTTTAATTTAAAAAACAAACATGCATTAGTGATATTGAAATGTAGTTGAATGTACGATAGTTACTTACAAGTAGTATTGTTAAATGATTAAACACATTACATGAATTCATTCTCTGAAGAAGTGGCCTACACCGAATTACGAAACGTCAGATAATCTCATTGGTCTACCCATTGGGATATTATAAATATATTACTATTTATTTATAAACTAATACTTCACAATATGAGAACTTTCGTCTAAATAAGAGTGAATAGGTTCACAGTATTTAGGCGCCGAGTTGATGTAAGAACAATTCCTTGCAAAAGCTTGAACCAGATTACCAGACGAAATGTTGAATTCACTTTAAATTCATTCGCTTAGATTTTTACAAATATATTATCCTTATTTAATTTTTTTACTACATTTAAAATTTCAAATAATATCGCCTCCTCCTCCTCCCCCTCCTGCCCCACCCCCTAAAAAGGAAACAAACTCAATTTACTTTTCTTTTCTTTCACTACTCAAAACAGTTTTTTTTCAAATAAGAAAAACCTTAATCAAACGATTCATTGTAAAATAATCTTTACTTTTCTTAATATGTTTTCTATATAATTATAGAGATTTAAACATCATTTTTGTAAATTACTTTCATGCTAATTTTATAGATTCACTTCAATATTCACTTTCAAAGTATCTTCAGTTTATATATATCAATCATCATATTGGTGAATTATTAAAATGTAATTACTCATGTTTCCATAGAAATATGATAGTAAACAAAAAAAAATAACTGATTTCATTCATAATAAAGTTTAACTCTTTTGTCTTTTAGTGTCTTATTGTGATAAGATGACATAGAACATTATCATATTTCTTTATGGAAAGAGATTTTGTTAATGTTCGAGAATTTCAAAGTTTAAGTTTGAATACATCATTGGAAGTTTAATTTAAAAAACAAACATGCATTAGTGATATTGAAATGTAGTTGAATGTATGATAGTTACTTACAAGTAGTATTGTTAAATGATTAAACACATTACATGAATTCATTCTCTGAAGAAGTGGCCTACACCGAATTACGAAACGTCAGATAATCTCATTGGTCTACCCATTGGGATATTACAAATATATTACTATTTATTTATAAACTAATACTTCACAATATGAGAACTTTCGTCTAAATAAGAGTGAATAGGTTCACAGTATTTAGGCGCCGAGTTGATGTAAGAACAATTCCTTGCAAAAGCTTGAACCAGATTACCAGACGAAATGTTGAATTCACTTTAAATTCATTCGCTTAGATTTTTACAAATATATTATCCTTATTTAATTTTTTTACTACATTTAAAATTTCAAATAATATCGCCTCCTCCTCCTCCTCCCCCTCCTGCCCCACCCCCTAAAAAGGAAACAAACTCAATTTACTTTTCTTTTCTTTCACTACTCAAAACAGTTTTTTTTCAAATAAGAAAAACCTTAATCAAACGATTCATTGTAAAATAATCTTTACTTTTCTTAATATGTTTTCTATATAATTATAGAGATTTAAACATCATTTTTGTAAATTACTTTCATGCTAATTTTATAGATTCACTTCAATATTCACTTTCAAAGTATCTTCAGTTTATATATATCAATCATCATATTGGTGAATTATTAAAATGTAATTACTCATGTTTCCATAGAAATATGATAGTAAACAAAAAAAAAATAACTGATTTCATTCATAATAAAGTTTAACTCTTTTGTCTTTTAGTGTCTTATTGTGATAAGATGATATAGAACATTATCATATTTCTTTATGGAAAGAGATTTTGTTAATGTTCGAGAATTTCAAAGTTTAAGTTTGAATACATCATTGGAAGTTTAATTTAAAAAACAAACATGCATTAGTGATATTGAAATGTAGTTGAATGTACGATAGTTACTTACAAGTAGTATTGTTAAATGATTAAACACATTACATGAATTCATTCTCTGAAGAAGTGGCCTACACCGAATTACGAAACGTCAGATAATCTCATTGGTCTACCCATTGGGATATTACAAATATATTACTATTTATTTATAAACTAATACTTCACAATATGAGAACTTTCGTCTAAATAAGAGTGAATAGGTTCACAGTATTTAGGCGCCGAGTTGATGTAAGAACAATTCCTTGCAAAAGCTTGAACCAGATTACCAGACGAAATGTTGAATTCACTTTAAATTCATTCGCTTAGATTTTTACAAATATATTATCCTTATTTAATTTTTTTACTACATTTAAAATTTCAAATAATATCGCCTCCTCCTCCTCCCCCTCCTGCCCCACCCCCTAAAAAGGAAACAAACTCAATTTACTTTTCTTTTCTTTCACTACTCAAAACAGTTTTTTTTCAAATAAGAAAAACCTTAATCAAACGATTCATTGTAAAATAATCTTTACTTTTCTTAATATGTTTTCTATATAATTATAGAGATTTAAACATCATTTTTGTAAATTACTTTCATGCTAATTTTATAGATTCACTTCAATATTCACTTTCAAAGTATCTTCAGTTTATATATATCAATCATCATATTGGTGAATTATTAAAATGTAATTACTCATGTTTCCATAGAAATATGATAGTAAACAAAAAAAAAATAACTGATTTCATTCATAATAAAGTTTAACTCTTTTGTCTTTTAGTGTCTTATTGTGATAAGATGACATAGAACATTATCATATTTCTTTATGGAAAGAGATTTTGTTAATGTTCGAGAATTTCAAAGTTTAAGTTTGAATACATCATTGGAAGTTTAATTTAAAAAACAAACATGCATTAGTGATATTGAAATGTAGTTATTAGCTCATGACAGACCCCGTTGAACTCAACTGCTCACTGCTTCTCACTAGAACTCCAGGATTTCAACTATATAAAATATACTAAATTAGCTAAATAGTTGAATCTGAAGCATATAAATGCATATATCTAGGTTTTTCAGTAGTTGTCTATGATTAGCTTGACGAATCAGATATTTTCAGGAAATTAGAGTCTATTAGGTATCATAGTAACCTAGTTTTTGATCGACTTGTTATATTATGACTAACTGACCACTGAGTTGTCTAAAAATCATTACATTAAGGATATGATTATAACTAAGAAAAGATGACTGTATGACTACTTATGAACTTCAGTTACCATCACATTTGTATTATAATATACATTTATTCGTAGACTAGGTAGTTAACGTTAAACTTTAATCCAATATATATGCATCTACCTCATTTGACTGAACGTTGAACACTCATTTCATTTTAATAGATAGTCATTATCGGTGTTCAAAAGACGAGATTGTAGATACCATACCAAAGAATACGATATGACCTAATACAAATTTTTTTCTGAAAAACATTTAGTTAACTATAAACTTACTTAGGAAGATGTACAAAACATTTTGTCCAGTGACTGCACTTCAATGTGATCAGTACTTTTATTAACAAACTTTTCTATGTAACCACTATTCTCAAACCATCATGTCAATCTCTCCCTTCCCTCGTTTACTTCGTGGATTGTTCATATTTAAGCAATTTTTGACAACGAGGAAACACTGAATGGCTATTTCAAATTGATGTGGGTTTCCCTCAGTAATAGTCATCCATTAAGGGTCAAGCTCAAAACATTCAGTTTAATTATCAAAGTTTAACCTCTAGACTACTGTATTAATATCCAATGCCATAAATTTTTAGTAACCATCAACTCACACTACTCTACAATCATCTTTGACATTGATCAAAGAAATAAAGTGATCATTGAAAACAAATATAATCATAATCATCCATTAAATAAGAATAATATATTTGTAAAATCTCAGCTAATGAATTTAAAGTAAATCCTACGTTTCGCCTGGCAATCTGGTCCGAGCTTTTTAAAGGAAATATAACAAAACATCAAAGTTATCGAATATAAATAGGTACATGGTTCTCCAGTTCATTATATACTGAATAGGTCATTCAATGAGCGTTAAAATCGGAGAACAATGTACCTATTTATATTCGATAACTTTGATGTTTGATTATATTTCCGTGAAAAAGCTTCGACCAGATTGCCAGGCGAAACGTTGGATTTACTTCAAATTCATTCGATGAGATTTTTACAAATATATTCTTCTTCTTGTTTAATGTCTTACATCAACTCGGTGCCCAAATACTGTGAAACTATTCCTTCTAATTTAGACGAAAGTTCTTATATAATAATCAGCTTTCAGTAATCATTAAAACAAGAATCAGTAGTATATATTTTATTATTAACTTTTAAATTGACAAACTACTCTACCTACTTTTTCTTTTTTCTTTTACATTTTTCCCACTTTAGTTGAACCATTACCTTCAGAACGATATCAAATTGATGTACCTGTGAATAAGATAGGAATGAAAAATAAAAGTACGTATATAAGTAAAGATGATTATCCTTTTTGTTGTTGTTGTTATTGATCTTATCTATTTGTAAATGAGAATGAATTTGATCGACAAAGTTTAACATCCCTATAATCTTTAAATCTTTAGTGTATTTACTGGTTGCTAACTAAGTTAGTTCACAAATCTACATTGAAAATGTTGAAAAATCGTTACGTAACTGTTCTTTTTTTTTCTTTTTTTCCATTAAAGTATGTAAGTTAATAAATCTGGTAAGATACATTGGTGATAAGTCATTATTTTAGTTAGTTAACTGAAAAGATAAGTAAATCGGATGACCTCAATATTACTTACTTAATTACTTACTTACTTCTCTTACCCCCAATGGAGAATAGGCCGAAGAAAAGCATTTATCAACCTCATTATTATGTGCTTAGATGAAATGTATTGATCTAGTAGGTTGGTAATAATACCGTAATATGGTCTACTTATATCCATATAAGTAGTATATGGCGATAGTCCGACATAGAATGTATTTTGGCAGAAGACCGATAAGGAAAGAACTGAAATGAAGCGCAGTTGGTGGGAAAATGAATGAACAATGAAATTAGTGAAGATGAACTGATATTTACAGGAGGAACAGTGAAGATTGAGACAATTGATTGTCATTTTGCAAATTGACTGCTTATTGAATGATTATCAGAATTTAATAAGATCGTCTATAATTTTTAAAATTAGAGTTTGATTCCAGCTGTAATTTATCAATAAATTGATTGAATGTTAAACTGTCGATCTGGTTACGTTAGTTACAACTAACGAGATCAGAATCACTATTTGATATTTGTTGAACTATTTATTTTGGTCAGCTTATCTCTAACTGTAAATAGGAATAACAAGTGTAATTACACATGTTTTGTAGTGGTTTTTATTATCTTAACAGCTTTAGAGTCGATATTAGTGAAATGATTGCCATCAATGGACAATTTTCACTGAATACAAATGATTTATCTCATGATCCAGTCATTAATTTGAAGTGTACACAAATGACACATACCTGTAAACAACTTTAAATAGTGCTTAGTGTCACCAGTTGTCTACTTCATAATGTAAATTCAACTAAAAAAGTTTATATCTAATAAATTAATCGTTGGACTTGATCAAATGAAAAGAAGTCATTATCGTTTCGAATTTAGCTACTACTAAATGTTTGGATATAAAGATCCTTAATACAAAGAAATGACGAGTTCAACCGAGTCTTTGTGAGATGTTAAATCACTGAAGACAAGAGTGGACAGTGTCTCAATTATGTGGATTGGTTGAAGTTATAAATTAACACCGTTGGATGCCGGCCGACTCAGTGACCTAGAGGTTAAGCGTTCGCGCGTGAGACTGATAGGTCCTGAGTTCGAATCTCGAGGGGTGTGTCAATGGATGTGCACTGCTGAGGAGTTCCACATTAGGACGAAACTGCCGTTCAGTGATTTCATGTTTTCCATAGTGGTCTAGCCTCAATTGACTCGTGAATTCAACTGCAAAAATGAATAAATCAAATTGTTCTAATAATATAACAAATTTTTTTTAAAAAGGAACAGTAAATTAGTTGATTCTTAAGACTAAATACATAATATTTAATGATAACTTTATTATTCCTAATGATTACTGCAACCTCCACAAATCCCTATACTGATTACATAAGACTCAAGATTGAAAATCATAAATTAGGTTAATAAATGAGTTCATTATCTGAAGTGATTATTAAAAAAGACATAAGAAAAAAGTAAACCATAAAAATGATGTAAGTGTATATTTAGATTGATAATCTGTCTGACCATCGCCATATACTACTTATATGGATATAAGTAGACCACACTACAATTACATAAACATAACAATGAAAAAAGGAATTTATCAGTATTAATAATTTAAGTATTCACTTTGACGTTTAAGAGGGAAAATGATCACTCTCTTTTGAAATATGTGAATCTTATGAATGTCTTGGATTCCATTGATAGTTGTTGTCCATCTGTGCTTATTATGATTGATAGATAATAGTTATCCTTTTGATGTGTGGGCGAGAATGACAATGATTGGTTGTCTCGATGAGTCAGACATTAGATAGGATGACAGTGTTATGTGTTATATATATATTCCCCTATCCTTATTATGTATTGACTGTTTCTTGTTGATGGACACTTATTGATTGACTGTTCATTGTGTCGGATTTTGGTGGAAATATATTGACGTTATAGTCAGGCTAATCTCGTGTTCTTGATCTGAGTTCTGTTGAAGTCCTGTAGAATAGACACTGGGTGGGAATCTAGTGTAGATATTCGTCTAAGATAAATTAACGTCATACATACGTGTAAGAAATAAAAGGACTGTTATAACAAGAACCCCTACTGTTATAACCAGCATCCTCTCCTTTAAGCATATAACAATTGGCGACGGCATACTTACGTTTATAACACCTTCAAAACATACAAATATATGGAAAGGTCACAGTACAACTAACACACTTCTGCCACAGATAAAAGCTACCTACACCAAATAGCGTTGTGTTAAAACAAATGCTCAAATCACTGTAAGAAAAGATGAATAGTGGCCAGCAGTGGAATCCGGTTTGTCGCGCGTTTCTTCCTATTTGGGACTAGTCAGATGGATGTACCTGCATCTCAGAGTTGATGTTCACCCAGAAACTAGAACCCAGTACCTTTCGCTTCAAACGCCATAGCGCTATCCACTCGTCTTCTGAGTCCTGATAGCCACTTGCTTGTGCAATGGGGTGAATTTTAAGTTCACTTGGTATTGTTTGTTTGAATATTCCCATTGGTGCTTAGGACTTCAGCTAGTCAGTCTCTAATTGGCATATGTGCCTATTGTGCGTATTGCCTTGATATAGCTTTATTTCACAAGCATTATAAGCAAAGATGGATAGTGGCTTGCAGTGGAATCCAGTTTGACGCGCGTTTCATCCTATTCGGGACTCACATATACCAATTAGAGACTGACCAGTTTCAGTCCTAAACATCAATGGGAAGATTCGAACAAGTAATATCAAATGAAATACTCAAATCAGTTATTAGCAAAATGTACTACACAGCAAATGTCATTATCATGGAAAAAATAATGCCTATGCGTCATTGAAAGGCAAAATATTCATACAAACGATTGTGTCACATCCTACTGTATTTTTTATCAATTTAAATGTGTGTGTCACCACACATACATAGAGAAGGGTAATTCAGATATCCATATGAGGGTGTCTGAATGTGCACCCATATAGTTACAAAGACAAATAAAATCAAATAATCAATAAGTGCAGATGTTAAACATTTAGCTTCTTCTACTTCCAATAATGATTGAAACAATTTATAGGATTGACCATAACGCGGCTTTCGCCGTGTTGTACAGAAGTGTTCGAGAGCGTTTACTAAGGCTTATTGAAGCTTTGGCCATACGAAAACCAAAACTCATTTATGTATTCAAAAGTAATTGGTTCTTAACTTAAATATATCCTGGTAATATTGTTTCATCATCCAGTCTGGGGAGTTTCACATTGTTTTTCACATCGTTTCCTTTGTGTTTGTTTCTTCCTACTTTCCATTTGTCTAGTTGACCGTTTATCTTTTAATATATAAATGTTTTAATGAGTATATGTGTGATCAAATTATTTGAAATGTATTGCACTAATATATCATATGGTTTAGATAATCTTCGTTTTCTTATTACTCTATCGAAAGCCAATAAACAATCATAGTATTTGAGAATTTACCCAGATAATTAATATATTGATTAATTATTGTCTCTTTATGATGCTATGAATGTGGTTTAAGTTTCCTAAATGCTACTGTTTCGACGAACCAAAGCAAAAACTGTATCGTCCGCTGGTCGACTGTATATCAGTTGATTATCTTAAAGGACTGTCAAACATCAGTGATTTGCTCGATATTAATTTTATTCCAAGCTGTTGTATTGCTTGGAACATTCGAGGCTGTTAGTTTGAAATTCTTCCAAACATGCTTAGAAATGTGAACACGTGCCCTTCTCTCTTTTCTTTCAGTATATGGACTTTGGCAGGTACATGCAAATTGGTAAATGTAGTTGGAGCTACTCAAAAACGTGTAACTGTGAATTTTTGTTTGTTTGAGATAGCGATTCGTTTCATATCAACTGGTCAGTCTTGCCACTAGATAAATAATCTTGATTGCAGTATTTATTCTTTAGTTCATTATTCCAGAAATTTCATCTTTTTCTTAATGAGGAGATAAGTAACTGATTTTATCTCCCGTTCTATCATACGTTCGTAAATTTTGGCAAACATCATGATAAATTTCACTGATTATGAATCTTTGCTTAATCAGGCATTAATTAAATTAATTTCTGCTTCACTTCAAAAGAGATAGAATTAAGGAAATAATCAACCATGGAACAAAGGCTGCAATGAGAATTCCTTAATCTTAAGAACACACCCAACAATACAATTAATAATTTACCTCATTTATTAAGTATACACTACTGTATACACGTTTCTGTAACATTGCTTGTATATAAGTTAATGATCATTCACACCTGACTGAAATATGATATGAAAAGGGGTTTCTGTGAATACTATAGTAACGTTAATAATTGAGATCATGAGTTATGAGGAATCGCACACTAGGACGAAACGGCCGTCCAGTGCTTCCAGGTTTTCCATAGTGGTCTAGCTTCAATTGACCTATGATCTCAACTATTAAAAATACTAAAAAATCTACAATAAACCCCTTATGATATTAGACAACATATGCTCACCAGTGACTGGCTTCAAGAGATATTTCCTGGAGTTCTAGTGAGAAGCAGTGACCAGTGGAGCTCAACCGGATCTGTTGTGAGATGGTAACTCACTGAACAAAATGGTGGACATTGTAGCAATTTCATGGATTGGTTGAAGTTAAACAATAACACTGTTAGATTACTGCCAGCTCAGTGATCTATAGGTTAGGCGTTCGCGCGCGAAAATGATAAGTTTTGAGTTTTAATCTCGCAAGGTGGGATCGTGGATATTACTGGGGAGTCCCACAATAAAAAGAAATGGCCTTCCAGCGCTTTCAGGTTTTCCATAGTAGTTTAGCTTCAATTGACTCATGATTTCAACTATTAAAATATGATAGTCAGTGCAATTTTCTTAACTGGTTAATAACTAACCTCTTTGTTTACTACAGGGGGGTGTAAACTAGTTTTTCATTATGATTATTAATCAATATTCTTCAAATTAACTGGTTCAGAACCAATAAAAACAATTGAAGTATTTAATTAGATCTCTTTTACAGTTAATTTCCTTAAAAATTTTCTTTACACAGTCTAATGAATTTTAATTTAAACTAATTTTGTAAAAAAATTTTATTGTCACTATGGAGGGGGGGCTTTGTAGAGATTGTAATATTTTCACAAATGAATTCATTTCACTGACTGATTTCAACTAGACCACTATTGAAAACTTGAAAGTTTATTATTATTATTAGCTCTATTCAATATTATATTCTTGATACAATAAAGAGTTCTCAATACGAGGTATTTCAACAAGTTTCCGTTTCTTACTTCTTCGTCAATCCTGATAATAAATATTGAGTGATCATCAGTTAGAAGTTAGCAGTCCAGTCATTCAACATCTAAATACTGTACATTCTATTCAGTGTATATTGCCAACAATCGCTATATCTGTGATTAGGCCTTTTGTAACCTATACAGCAAAAGATTGTACACTTTTCAGAAACGAACAAGAATAGGTTGTGCCATTAATAGCCATAATGATGTATTAAAACAAATAAAATTAGATACGTTGTTGAAATATGTAGATGACAGGAACAAGTATCCCTGATGTTTAAGCAGACTCATGAATGTAACTGGGTAGTTTTTTACATTATTTATAATAATAGTACAAATGTGACATTTGTATAGCTAAGATCATGAATCAATTGAAGCTACACCACCATGGAAATCCTGGAAGCACTGGAAGGTCGTTTTGTATATGAGTAAAAAGTTCCTTATCATTTCGTTCTAATTTAAATTATTGTTCTGTATTTAAAATAAACAACAAACTTAGTTTTGACATATTGGAAAACATTCAAAATATTTTGTTTTGCATTACTCCCCGAGGGGGTTGTAAAATTCGAGAAAAAATTAAAGACTTTTTGTTAATTTAAAATGTTTATTTATGACTTTTGTTTTTTTTTTAGTTTTTTTTTTACTTCTCGACTATTTAAGATAATTAAAGTTAAATAAATTTCAGTAAAACTTGTCATGATTGATTGATTTGATTGAATTAACTCCCAGTGTATGAAATCATTCCAATGTGATATTTGATTATATCAGTTTGATTATCTTCCGTTAGTGTTTATTCTTTATATTTTCATATTTGCAAGCGTCAGTCAATTGAACCTAGACAATCATGGTAAACCTGGAAGCACTGTTTGACGGTCGTTTCGTCCAATTGTGGGACTCCTCAACAGTGCACATCAACGCTTCAAACTATGAAAATACTATATCTCCACAAAACGTCTTCTAATATTTTTTATATTGTTAAAGACATACTAGAATATTCAGTAGGAGGAGTGTAATATGTTTGATATTTTATATTTTTTGATTATTATCGAAGATTTAATATGAAGTGACCTCATACTTTAGTCAGAAATTAAGATTTTACGGATTTTTCCGACCCTATCATTTTAGATATCATAAATATGTTTTGTAATTGATATGTCTGAAATCATCAACTGTTAAAGGGATGTTGTATAGAACTCGATCTTTCACTCAAAACATCCGTTTATTGAGAGGTACGATCATGAAATTCAATTCATGTAACTTAATAAGAAATGTGGTTTTGAATGGTTAGCTATTTGAAGTTCTTTTCTTCTTGATCTGCTTCTTAATCTTCTGCTATCCAATATTCTATTCCTTACTCAATATATATACTACTTATGTCGATATAAGTAGCTCATACCACAGCATTCGATCAGCACTAAGAAGGACCTGACATGCATGAGATTGATCACCACCCAGTGATCAATCAATTGTGATTACATCTCAGTCCTACAGGAGGTTGGTCGCGGCCCGAATAGCTCAGTGGTAACGTCGCTGACTGTGAAGCTGAGTGACGCGAGATCGAATCCGCCAGGGAGCATCAGTCCCCTCAGGATTACAGGTACACCTTGCTGACGAGTGCCAAGTAGCACGAAACCCGGGCCCAGGGTTTCCTGTTGACCACCTCCAACCACCATCTTACCTCATACCACAGCGTTATGTAAATCACAAATCGAATAATTCTAACAAACCTTCTGCGTTGATGATATTAAATCTTATAATATAGAAGTAAATGTGAAACAAATCCAGCTAACTATATATCTTAGATCAATATCACCTAATCTCTTCAGTTAAAAACCTCTGCCAAGTATTCCATACATCTAAGGAATGCTCATATCAACCATTAAAAAATTCATGAATTGATAATATCCTTTATTTTGTCTACAAAATCAGATTTCATACTAGCCGCTCATGTTTACGTATTCCCGACCAGTGAAAGCTTACAGGCTCATTAGCAAACTCATTATTCTTAACTTGTCATTATACATCTAAAATTTCTTTTTTAATTTATCTAAACAATGATTCTTTTCTTTTATACTCATAAACTTTTTTTAGCTATAACTGTAACTGGTCCAAATCTTGTCTTTTATGGTACCCCATTAGAACTAATATGTCGTGCTAGTTTTCCAACATCTGAAGCTAAACTTGATCCAACAATTTCATTAGAATGGTATCATCGTGGTATACGTCGATTATCACATCCATTTAGATCAGGTGGTGTATATATTACAATGCAATGGTTAGATTCACATTTATTAGAAAGTAGATTATTTATATCATGGGTAAGTGAAGCTGAAGCTGGTCAATGGATATGTTTAGAAAGATCAAATCCAATGAAAAATATAAATTATACCAAATCATTAACATCATTGTCAATGTCAAATTATCGTAATTATCAAATGAATGAATTTAATAAACAATCATTTCCATCTTATTATAATCTATCTGTACCATATAATAATCCATCAAATATTGATTTGGTTTATGATAAGATCTATATAGAAATAATTGGTAAGTGAAAATGGTATTCTATTTAAAAATTTGTTCATTGTTTGTTGTTGATTGTTAATTGTTTAATTATTTTATAGTTGTAATCATTAGTCAATTAATGCTAGACTACTATGAAAATCCTGGAAGCATTGAACCGCCGTTTCATACTACAGTGAACTCCTCAGGAGTGTACATTCACGATCCCACCTAGCAAGATTCGGACGAAGGACCTATCAGTCTAGCTTGCGAGCACTTTACCTCTATCAATAAAATGATCTAATTAAATGAAATTTTACTTAATAGATACATTTAAACAAATAATAGATTGGTAATACATTGATCATGAACGTGTATAATGTATTTTGTTATTATATGTACGCTTGTATAGTGTAAAAGTCTAATTATTCAGTCAATGACATACCAATGATCCTTGGTTATCGTTGTACTAATCGATTTTTTGTTGATAGTTCCTTAATATCTTTGTATTTAACGTTAAAAAACAGCAATGAGTGACATTAAGTAATGATCTATAGAGTATTGATGAATACCATGATTCATATATCAGATGAAACTATGTGACACAATTTGATGCGTTTACACTGATGTCTTGTTACCCATAGCTTTTATGAAATTCTAAAAGCTCCTCAAATAAAAACATTTTATCAATTATCAGAAGGGGTTTTGTGGAGGAATTTAGTATTTTCAAAGTTAAAAGCATGAGTCTCGCGAGGGAAGATCGTGGATGCACACTGCTGAGGAGTCACGCAATAGGACGAAACGGACGTCAAATAGTGCTTCCAGGTTATCCATAGCGATACAGTTTCAACTATTTTATCAGTTGTCAAAGATATCGCATTTAATCATCTAATTAGCTATAGAGAGCCGAAGAAGACTGAATTGATTGTAAAAGCTAAAATAAATAAATAATTAACTTTATTCAAACTGGTAAAACATATAATGTCTCACTTGAAATCTTACCTTTTTAGGTAAATTGTTTTTGATACGCATAAAATGTATATTCTTGATTCATTATAATATCTCATAAAATGAAGTTAGTGAACTCATGGCTAAGTGATTAAAACTTTCAAGTCTAAGGTTTGAAATGTACTCTACACACTTCGGTTTAGGCTGTATTGTATTGTATTATTAATCTTTACAGGTAGGTTATGGTTCATACTGAAGTTCCTACTGAAGGAATTATTCTATATAGTTGAGATCATGAGTCAATTGAAGCTAGACCATCAAGGAAAACCTGGAAGCATTGGACGGTCGTTTCGTCCTATTGTAGGACTCCTCAGCAGTGCGCATCCACTTTTCACTTTTCTTAATCAAAACTAATGCAAGTGTATACTATGGCAATAATGGCGGTGGAATCCAGGAAGCGTGTTTCGTCCTATTTAGAACTCATCAGGTAGATGTACCTGCATCCTTATCTTTGATTATAAAGCTTGTGAATTAAGACTATATCGAGGCAATACAAATAGGATACACATATGTCAACAAGCGACTAACCAATGGCAGTCCCAAACAACACTGAAAGATTCATTTAAGTAATATCAAGTGGAATTAAACTTCATCCCATTGCTCAAGAATGTGACCGCCAGGACTCAGTAGCTTAGTGAATAACGCAATGGCGTTTGAAGTGAACGGTACTGTACTTGAGTCTCAGAGTGAACATCAACTCTAAGATTCAGGTACATCCAGCTGACGAGTCCCAAATAGAAGGAAACGCACGTCTTGGATTTCACTGTTAGCCACTATCCATCTTTGCTTATGATCAAAAATTATCTAAAAACTCGAAAACATGCAGCATTATTACCAGTTATACAAGCTGAAATATTTAATTTAAAATGATTTTAGAGAAGATTAGCCCTTCTACATGTTTAAAAACATTTCTTTCATCTCATAGACATACCTGACACAACGCATTCTGTACAAATGACAACGCAAAGTACGATATTCACTGGTAAGTTGTACACAAGCTTAAATTAGCATGAAAAGTCTTGTGTGTATAACTAAAACAAACCATCAGGATGATCATTTACTCTAAATTTAAATAAAATTTCAGTTGTATTCAATGTAGATTCAAATGTCATGTCACACTACACTAACACATAGAAACTCTATGTTTAGAAAAGACGATTAATAATTCTTTTCATAGTTGAAATCATGAGTCAATTGAAGCTAGACCACCATAGAAAAACTTAGAAGCACTGGGAGGACGTTTCGTTTTATTATAGGACTCCTCAGCGGTGCGCATCCACGATCCCGCACCAACGAGATTCCAACCCAGGATTTATCAGCTTCGCACCAGAGCACTTAACCGATAGACCACTGAGACAGCGTCCAACCGGTGTTAATGTCTAACTTCAACTGATCGACGAAGTTGAGCAACCGTTCACTAATTGTCTTCAGATAGTTGTATTTAAACTCTACTATCTTAGCCCCTATTTGGAAAGAGATATAAAGTATGCAGACTATAAAAATAGTAAGACCAATACTGAAATTGTTATTGCATTATTGAATATTAGTGAATAAATATAAATAGACAGAATTCATTGAATGAAAACCTCGTTTCGATCAAATCACTTCCTCTAACGATATATTTGTATTTATAGTAGTTTCGCAAATGATATACGTTCTATAGAAAGATGGAAGATATTGTGTCATAATGTGATCTGAGATCTTAAATATCAAAAGGAGATTGTGTAATATTCAAGGTTGTAAGTAATTTGTAGGTCAAAATATGAGAGATAATTGTCCACTAGATAGATGTGAAGTAAAAGAACAAACGGAAAAGTCATGACAACAACCGATTAGTAATCATAAAAAACTATTATGTGAAGATAATAATAACTGGCTACGGTTTAAAAATACAAAATAATAATAAGAACAAAAACTTACTTACTTACTTACGCATGTTACCCCTTGTGGAGGAGCATAGGCCGCCCATAAGAACAAAAAGACTAACAGATAATCGAGGAGGGAATTATAACTAGGAAAGAATGAAAGGTTGAATGTATTGTTGATGTATGGGTAATTCATGGTTGAGTCGGTGGATCGCCAAAGCCTCATCAGTGCATACGCTTCTGACGTAAGTTCTAACTGATTCAATTCTTTTGATTGTGTTGATTATTCTGAAGATCACATCCTTTGGAGAAACATGTTTAGTGTTTGTCAGTTACTCCTTTACCAGAGTTAGCGATAAGTTTACATTTCTGTTTGAAAAGTCACATCAAGTAATGTAGCGAGACACTTTTGGTAAGTGATTACATTGTTCAGCCATTGTGACATGCCCAAAAACACAAAATAAATTTATGGACTTTACCTTTGTCCTTTTACTTCATATCTATCTAGTGGACAATTATTTCTCATACAATTTACTTACAACTTTGATTACTACACAATCTCCTTTTGATATTTAAGATCTCAGATCACATTATAACACAATCTCTTCTATCTTTCTATTGAACATATATTTTTTGTCAAACAACAATGAATATGAATATATATCGTTAAAGGAAGTGATTTGATCGAAATGATAAGTGTCCTCATTGAATTCTCTTTATTTATGATTGGTGAATAATAAAATTTAAAAATAATAAAAAAAATATTCATCTCAATAAAGAAATATAAAATGTAGAAAAAGAAAGAAGGAGAAAGAGAGAAACAGAAACTTCTTACAAGATAAACTTTCTTTAATTGGAATGTATCCAACTGTATTTAGTATGTAATGATATGAAATCTATGCATGACATTTAGAATATTTGTTGAAGCATGATGTTTATTCTTTCTTTTTTTTGTTGAATATTGATTTTTTGTGAGATATATTGTGAAAAACTTTTTTTTTCTGTTTTTTGTTTGTTTGTTATTTTGCATTTTTTTATTTATTCCATTGATAAATGATTAGTGTTAGAGTTTTGAATAATTTTTTTTCTGATTAGAGTTTTTTTAAAGTGAGTTGGTTCTTTATGTGATGGGGTCGCTAACTCCATGCCTAACCCTACTCCTCTATCCGGGCTTAGGACCAGTAGTAGTTCCTAGGGGAGCTAAAGGCGGAGTTAAATCAGTAGTGTACATCTTTAAAAATATTATTCATTGGCGACTAATATCATTCAAATTATTCATTATACATTATGATGCATATGTAGATAAATGAATTTTGTTAATTTATGATATAAATAAATTCGTTAAGGTATACTGAATTTGAAAATGATTTTTACCATGGTAATTTGTAATTATATATTGCTGAATAATTATGTTCATCAATGTTCAATCATGCAATTCATATCGTACATTGTGTAATAATTTGTGATTATCTCTGCTATAACTTCTGGCTGAGTGGATGCCCTTGTTAACGTATGACGTGATAAGACCGCCAATCAGAGAGAAGCAGCGACACACGGAAAGTGTACGAGCAGTCTTGAGCACTTATCGGTCCTGCTTCTGCCTAGTCCAGCTAGTTAAGTCAACAACAGCCTCTGCGGTATGAATCATTGTATTTCAAATACACTGAGTTTATATAGCAAACAGACTGACCACATCGTACCAATAAAATAGAAAATAACATTTGTACAAGATTTAGCCAAAGGTAGGAGGCAGTAATTAATAGACTAAGGATAACTCAAGAATGGTAAATCATATAATAATAGTCTATAGGTCAAAATAAAGCTAATAATAGGGGGAACATGAATATTAATAGTTTAGTTATTTAGCGATTATACGATAAAAAATGTACGCATAATATTGGTCCATAAATGGATCCCAAAGTTACCATTTACTATTGTTATTGGGACATAATACCTCCCTTTTTTCAAAATCCGGAGTTGATATCCGGAATATGAATTTCTCGAATAATCTCGTTAAACATTATAATTTTTATATCATAGTTACCGCTAATGTTATGAGTGCTTAGGTATATTACATTTGACTTAAGTATATATTCCATCAGTCATAATGTCATACGGAAACACAATTTGTAGAAAACCATGTAGAATCTAGGGACATCTTTGTCATGAATAGATAAATGTCAGCTAATGTGTTTCTTTTCTTTATTCAAGATTGTATATCAATTCCTTTGAAGATTGATTTGAATAACAAAAAGAAAAAAAGAAAGAAAATTTATTTATGTTCACATATATCGTTTTTTTCAAAATTTTATTTCAGTTCCGACAGTTTCATCGTCATCTTCATCATCATCTCAAACAAATGGACTATTATTATCGCCATCCTCCTCCTCATCATCATCATCAACAGGGACAACACATTTATCATCCACATCATTCACATCAAATTTTAATCGAAAATTTTCTAAATCAAATATATATAGTTTATCATCTAAACAAATCAATAATAAAAAACCTGAAAAATTATCATTTATAGAAAGATTAATTAGATCAATGAATCAATGTACAAGATTAAAAATCAATAAACAAATTTTATTGATTTTTAATATATTCAATAATTTACTACTTATAAAATCTTTCCTATTAATATATTAATATTCTATAAATTATTAAATATAACTAGGCATATATATATATATTTATATATATATATATATATATATGAAATTCTTGAATTCAAACAAAGAGTTTTGTGGATACTATAGTAATTTTATTAGTTGAGATCATAAATCAATTGAAGGTAGATCAACATGGAAAACCTAGAAGCACTGGACGGCTCACTGCTGAAGAGTCCCACAATAAGAAGAAACAGTCATCCGGTGCTTACAGGTTTTCCATGATGGTCTAGCTTCAATTAATTCATGATCTCAACTATTAAAACCATCATTATATAATTGAGAAATCTGTCAATTTTCTTTTTTTCAAACTATTTTTTTGGCGCGTTTGTAAATTTGAAAACTTTTTTGTGTTATCCTTCTCCTCTTTCCAATATTTTTTTTCTTTGATTGAATTATTCTCTTATTTATTATAATTGAAAAGTGATTTATGCAATGAATGTATAGAAAAGATAATATATATTTATATAAGTAGTATTTTAATACATTTAACCGAAAATTTATCTAATTTTAATGATAATAAGAAAGATTCATAAAACTGGACATTGTCTAGTATTGGAATCATATTTGAGAAGCATCAGATGAATTGACTTGAATCGTTATTTGAAAAATTCTCATATTGTAATTTACTTACTTACTTACGCCTGTTACCTTCAATGGAGCATAGGCCGCTTACCAGCATTCTCCAACCCACTCTGTCCTGAGCCTTCTTTTCTAGTTCTATCCAACCTATGTTCATTCTTCTCATGTCTGTCTCTATTTCTCGACGTAATGTGTTCTTTGGTCTTCCTATTCTCCCTTGACCTTCAGGATCCCATGTGAGGGCTTGTTTTGTGACACAATTAGGTGATTTCCTCTAAATGTGCCCAATACACTTCCATCGCTTCTTCCTGATTTCTTCCTCCGCTGGTTGGAATCTGGTTTGTTCTCTCACACAGTAAGTTGTTGCTGATAGTGTCTGGCCATCGGATCCGAAGTATTTTGCGTAGACAGCTGTTACTAATCACTTGTATCTTCTGGATAATGGCTTTCGTAGTTCTCCACGTCTCCGCACCATACAGTAGAACTGTCTTGACATTTGTATTGTGATTTAGAACAACATATATAAGCGAACAATATTGTTTTCGATTATCATCAAGCTTTAATCTAATATACAGTAATATTTATATGCGTATACGAAATTAAACCAATCAAGGCAGTATATGAGTCAATAATAATAGTGGAATAGATTACATAATTAAACTTAATAAGTGAAAAGTACAAATCGGTAGTGCAGTTACAGGTGTACTAGTTGTGATAAGAATAATAAAAGGCTTGAATCAATGTTACATAATAGGAAAATAGGTCAATGATTAGAAGAATAAAGGCAATGAAATAACAGTCATAAAAATTATAAGATTACGTAATAAGGGGTGTTCAAATAATTGAACCGCGAAACGTATATTTGAAGAAATAACAAGTAAATAATTGGTAGGGGGGGTGAATAAAAGTAAACAAAGAAAGAGGATGGAAAGTGAAATTATTTATTAAGGCCAAGGGAGAGATAAGGGTGTTACAAATTTCTTATGAACACAAAGACTTGGGTTGTTGGATCGAATTCCTATAGGTTCTACTATGTGTAAGAGACGAAATCGAACCTCATAAGGAAAACTAGTAGGAATACGATAAATAACTTTAAATGACTGATATATATTACTGTATATTAGAGTAAAGCTTGATGAGGATCTAATCGAAAACAATATTGTTCGATTATATATCTTGTTGGATCTTTATGTTATTGTTCATAAGTTAAGCCAGTAAAAATTGATATCATTTAAGTTTATTCATCTCTTTAACTTTCTATAGAATGGTAACTGACGTTAGAAATCCTTCTATAATCTTACTTGACAAATAATTTCCATTTAAAAATTAAAATTAAAAAACACGATGTTCAGCGAAGGGATCTCTTTTCAACGAATTCATGATCAAGCTGTACAATCATATATATATATATATATATATATATATATATATATATATATATATATATATATATATATATATATATATGAAAATGTTTTGTTTAAGTACTAATTCCGTGAGGAAATGTGAACAAGAATAACCAAGATGACGTAACAGAAAGATTATAATACAAGATTACGTAATACGAGTAATAATAATAGATTTTAGTGAATAGTAATAAAACGAAACGGCCATCCAGTGCTTCCAGGTTTTCGATAGTGGTCTAGCTTCAATTGACTGATGATTTCAACAGTAAATTGTTTTTGTTATAATAATTAAAGGTCATTAAGGGTTATAAAGGTGTAAAAATAAGTAAGGTGATATGATGAGTGTTCATGAATAAAATAATGAGAATATATGACATAAGTAGAGGGAAAAGTCATTAATAATAATCTCGCGAGTGTGGGATCGTGGATGCGCACTGCAAAGGAGTCCAACAATAGGACGAAACGGCCGTCCAGTGCTTCCAGGTTTTCCATGGTGGTCTAGTTTCAATTGACTTATGATCTTTACTATAGAAAAATAATTATTATTATTAACGCCATGGTAACGATAACGATAAGACATACTTCTTTTGTACGCACAGTTCTGGTTTAAGCTCATTGGATGATAAGAGCTTCGCCTATTTTTAAGAGTTTGATACGAAAAAATCTAGGTAGATTTTAATGAATCATATAAACAACCTTTTAATCAGACTGTGGATCTATAGTATGATTACAGCCAATTAAGTGTTCAAGTATAGAACTTCTAACTGCTTTCCTTTCACCCTTGTAGAAACAAATAGAAACAAATGCTAGCCACTATCCATCTCTGCTTACCATGCTTGTGAATTAAGGTATATCGAGACAATACGCACAGTATGCACATATGCCAATTAGAGACTGACCAGTTGCAGTCCTAAACACATCGATGGGAAGATCCAAACAAACAATACTAAGTGAATTCAAACTTCACCCCATCACACAAGCAAGTGGCTATCAGGACTCAGTGGCCGAGTGGATAACGCGATGGCGTTTGAAGCGAGGGTACTGGGTTCGAGTCCCAGAGTGAACATCAACTCTGAGATGCAGGTACATCCAGCTGACGAGTCCCAAATAGGACGAAACGCGCGTCCTGGATTCCACTGCTAGCCACTATCCATCTCTGCTTACCAAATATTGTGATATATATACGATTGTACAGCTTGGTAATAAAATCGTCGAAACAAATATCCTCAAATAAATTATATTACGATTTTAATCGAAATACCATGATTATCTATAAAAGAAAATTGGAAAAGATTGCCTCGGACCAAGTTTGATGGAGAATTCTGGTGGGTAGTCCATACTCCTCCATAAGGGGTAACAGACAAGCTATAAAATGCAGCAATTATTACATTACATTATTAATGGATAAATAATGATTGTTAGTTATGTTAAATCTTCAAATAAAATTTATGGGTAAAGAAAAAACTAATCTCAATATAAGCATAATGATTAAAGATGATTTTTGTTCAATTTGTAGTGCAATGCTTCGCTAATCTTTTACCTCAATAACCATTATAATACAAATCTTAACGATGTATGAAATCAGAAGGCAAAGAGAAGTTTCAATTATAGTTTATTGTGGTGTGGTCTACTTATATCCATATAAGTAGTATATGATGTGGGTCAGACATAGAATGTATTTTGGCAGAAGACCGATGACGAAAGAACTGGAATGAAGCGCAATCGTCTGGAAAATGCATGAGCAATGGAATTAGAGAAGAAACAGTGAAGATTGAAACAATTGGTTGTTAATTTGCAAATTGACTGTTCATTGTTTGGTAATCAGAATTTATTGAGATAGTCTGTAATCTTTGCTTAAATACATTCGATTGTCCCCAACTAGTATTTTGTTCGCTACATTTGGTGTCGCTGCCAACCAGGAGGAGGAAGGGTGCTGTTCTGCGGACGCCGCTGCGGGTCTGGAGTGGAGGTGCTAGTTGGGGCAGTCTGGTGAGGAGAGGTGGCGTCGAGTGGAGTGTTCTGGCGGGGCGGCGTTGGCTGTAGCGGGTGCTGTCGACGGAGAGGAGCAGTGGGACGTGCGGCTGCTGGGCGGACATCGGATGTAGATGGCTCAGCAGGCCGGTGGAGTACGGGTGTTGAACGTCCCAGGTGCCGGGTGGATGCGGATGTTGGTGCCCCGGCAGGTCGACGGAGCTATGGAGGTCAGCGCGCCGCAGACTCGACATTCTGACGGAGAGTTTGGCACAGACTGCAGTGAAAGACGATAGTGGCGTGGCGAGCAGAACCACCGCATGAACGAATGCTTTAAAGGGGTACGAGTGTGGTGTGGTCTACTTATATCCATATAAGTAGTATATGGTGTGGGTCAGACATAGAATGTATTTTGGCAGAAGACCGATGACGAAAGAACTGGAATGAAGCGCAATCGTCTGGAAAATGCATGAGCAATGGAATTAGAGAAGAAACAGTGAAGATTGAAACAATTGGTTGTTAATTTGCAAATTGACTGTTCATTGTTTGGTAATCAGAATTTATTGAGATAGTCTGTAATCTTTGCTTAAATACATTCGATTGTCCCCAACTAGTATTTTGTTCACTACATTATTATCAAATGACTCAGGCCACAAAGCTATAAATACATGAGTAAGTATCAGCGATCAAGTGAGAGCAATTACATAAGCAAATTTATTGTCAAATTGTATAAGGGTTCAGCAAGACAAAACAAAAGCTGATAATAGGGTTTGAATACATACATATATGGGGAAGAGGATGAATCATCGAATGATATTTAAGCAATCAACGTTTTTAGCTAGAGTCTGTTATGTGCTATAGTGATCATAACAGTACAAAAATAATACGCAGATTGTTACTATCCAAATGACAAAGTCTGTGGAGTTAATAAAAGTGCTTAATCGAAATTGGTTGTAGGTATGTTGCTATAGATTAACTTTCATTAGAATTTCAACACAATAATTAATACATTGTAAATTTGATTAATCTAATTTCTCTACAGTTTTATTTCTATTAATTCATTCATTTTAAAGTTAGTTTATTTGTATTTCAATACATTCTTGATTGTTTCAATTAGTTTATTGTGATATCGGACTCTTTCTGTCATTCATTAAATCATTCGCCAAATCTCATGATTTCAATTATACAAATACTGAAATCTTCACAAAACCCATTCTGATAATAATAATAATAGCAGTCATATGCTCACTAGTGATTGACTTCAAGAGATATTTCCTGGAGTTCTAGTGAGAAGCAGTGACCAGTGGAGTTCAACCTAGTCTGTTGTGAGATATCAACTCACTGAAGACAATTGGTGAATGGTTGCCCAACATCATGGATTGGTTGAAGTTAGACATTAACACCGTTGAATGTCACCTCAGTGATCTAGAGATTAAGCGCTCGCGCGCGAGACTGATAGCTCCTGGGTTTGAATCTTGTGAGGCGGGATCGTGGAAGAGCACTGCTGAGGAGTCCTAT